CGCATTTCCCCTAGTCACAGCATAGTATGACAAATAAGGCAAAACTAAGGAAAAGTAAATCAGATATTTTTATATTTTTATTCAAATATTTTTTCAGATGGTTCTTTGTTCTGGTACACTCTCCGTCTCTTCTCTGTCAAACTTTTTCAGCTCGCCATCTCTCTCCTCCTCTCGCGGCTCGGTTCTCTCACAGATGGCTTTTAAAGCACCTGTATTAGACCCGTATTAAAAAGTTCAGCCTGTCTGGGTTTCACTCGCTGGCCGAGACTCTGTCTTCTCTCTTGTCTTGGTAGCTCTTCTCTTCCTCCTTGCACTCAGTCTGCCTCCTCCTCTTCCTCCTCCTCTGTCTAGTGCTCTGGTCTTGTTTTGACTAACCGGTCCTGTAGTTTAAGTCTCCCAGGAGCCTGCACCACACCCCAGACCAGAGTGGAAACTGGCTCCAGTCGCAGTCAGAGCGAGGCCTGGAAAAATGAAGGCAGGAGTAGGAAGGTGGTGTGTGTGTGTGTGTGTGTGTGTGTGTGGGACGGGGGGATTGGGGGGGGGGGGGGGGGGGGGGGGGGGAGTAATGCATAGGCTGAGGATGAGGCTTCTTTCTCTAAAAACGTTCGTATCTACCAGGTTCCTTTTCAACATCTCCCCCGTCCCTCGCTGCAGCGATCCTTCCTCCTTCTGCTCCATCATGGACTCTTACTTCAGCGTGTGGCGTAAAGGCATTTCACCATTAACAAGCTGACATTTTCACATCATTGAGATTAGAACCTTGTGTCGTTAGGTGTGGTTTTGCACGAGACAAAGAGAGAATCATTTTGGACTTACTCCTACTTCAGAGTATCTGGGTGACCCTTCCAACAGGATCTGGGTCGGTCGCCATTGTTTTCTTTTCAAATTCCAAAGGCTGATTTTGTCCGACTCAGTGTTTTTCTTTCCCTCTTTCAATTTCAGGCACAGACTTCTTATATATTTTCTGCATGTTTGCATCTTCCTTCTCTCTTCTCCCCCACCAACACCTTCTGTGCACGTACGGAGGTAAACCCCTGTTGGGTTTGGTTTTTTTTTTTTTTTTTTAGCTGGAGGGGGTGGGAGGGATGGGGATCAGTTGGTGGGGGTGAGGTGTTGTGGAGGCGGCTGTCGGTGAGTACAGGGGAAAAAAAGGGCCAGTAAAACAAAGAGAGGTTTGTCTGCAGGAGAAGCAGGCAGGAAACACAAGTCTCCCAGGACTCTCCACCAGTCACTGCTGCTTGGCTGTCCTGCAGCCCACACCAGATTGAACCTGACAGCTCCTCTGAGCTGCAGCAGCAGTGCTCCCTCCCTCTTTTTTCTATCGCACCTTCACATTTAAATACTTTTTTAAATTTGGATTACTATTTAACTTTGTGCTGTCACCTTGAGGAACCTTTCCCTCATTTACAAAATTCCTTTGTAGATTTAAAACTCCAGGAACAATCGCAACAAGGTTTATTTCATTAGCTGTGAAATACTTTTCATTGGTTGTTCCTAAGAGGAGCTGACATTTTTAATAATAATTAATAGTTACCAGATAAACTTCATCTTTGTAGTAGGTATACAAATAAAACATGAGACAAGAATTTATGTTTAGAAAATATTGCGTTTGAGTTTGAGTTTATACTACGTCACTACCATTAGATCCACAAGAGGGCAGTATTGTAAAGTGTTTAGTGACGTACGGCAGGTGTAGAGAAAGTCACATGGGACAAGACGGCATTGAAAAATAAAATAAGTCAAGATTTTTATGGTTTAGAGCACATTTAAATGTGTACAATGATTGTTTAAATTTAAACTTTTGCGGTGAATTATTATTAGAAATACAATAAATACAGTACAATACAAAATGCACATGTTTTTTTTATTTTCTTCAGTGGTTTGAAACACTGTGATAAATAAAAACTGCTGGTTTTGCTGAAATATTCATGTGCGACATACACCTACACATACATAACTGTTGCACTTATCTAATTAAGCTGGGGGTGAATAAATATTCATTTTATTCTACTGTTATTCTAGTTTCTTGGTTTGTAATTAGAAAAGCACTCTGAAATACTTTGCTTAGTTGATTTAAAATGATCCATAAGTATGCATTTCCTGGTAAGGCCATCTTTATTTGCATCAATCAAAGCTCAATAAACCAGGCAAATCTCCTGTAAACACAATAAATACTATTTTAATCATCAAGATAACATGCATATTGATACAGAGTTAAACAATTCCATCCGACAGTTTTAGAGTACAATTTGTACTTTTATACAGATTCAGCATTTGCTGCATCTTGACCTTCACCCAGCTTGCTGATCCCATCGATGGTGTCCATCACACTGTCTGTCTGCAACCCTCTGGGAGGAAACGCTGCTGACAAAAAGATCTGCACATGAGAAACACTCTGGAAAGCAGGCTTGGCACAAACAGTGTAAAGCATCTCCCACTACAAACTACATCATGTGTCCCTGCGTGTCTTGGTAATGTGTGTGATCCCTCAGTTATGCAAACAGTCCAGGGTGCTGGCCGGTGCAGTGTGAGCGTGTAGAGTGGCTTTTATGCCAGAGGACCGCTGCAGTCTCTGTTGCATGCACTTGCGTCCGAGTCATTGATCGTTGGTGGATTCTGTCCAACTTCCTGTGACAGACAAAGCAGGTAGGGCTCATCCAGACTGGGTCGGCTCGGCCATTTGTCAACCTTTCATGAAAGCTTCTTGTACAGGGAGATGAGATGAGGGCTGATTTTGTGCACACACACTGAGTGTGTGTGCATGCGTGTTCTCTACGTTAATTTGCATCAGTCCTTTTGTTTGTGGTCAGGGTTTTGCAAGCAGCTTCGCCAACTGCACTCTTGATGAAAGATTGTGCCATTGACATTTTACCCACCACACGGAGCCAAACCAAACCACGTGACCCTGTCCAGATTTCCTGTGGAGAAACATGCAAACCAGTTTTTGACTGATTTATTTGTATTTGACACCCGCAACCTGTAACTGTCTTGTTATTCTCTAACTGAGGGGTCTCTTGCACAAAAATCAGTTGCTAGAACTTGCAACTCCGTCTATGCTAAACTGAAATAGGTATGACGCAGACATGAAACACTATCATTTTGGAGTTGGCTAAATGTTTAGTTGTGAAGAAAGAAAGAAAACAACCTTTTATATAGCGCTGCTCAAGATAAAAATCATTAAAAAGTAATATAAAAATATTTTTATTGGTTCGTTTTATTTATTGATTAATAAATATGGTTAAAATTAGGGAAACATGTAAATAAAAATATGTGAATAAAAATGTAAGAAAAGGTCAAGAGAAAAGGAATAGGAAAGAGGGAAGTCAGTGGATCCTGGAAAGGAAGAGATGAATAAGGAGAAGGTGGTGATGAAGTCACACCAAATCGCAGGACCAGAACAGAACAGTCCCCTTCATCTCTGTGAGTCAGAAGGTCATTAGAGACCCTAAGAAGAGCTGTTTCAGTAGAATGAGCTCTAGGAAAATCTAACTGGAAACTTTCATAGATATTATGTATAAACTGTACAAGGCTAAAGACAGACACCCAGGATTATTGGAAATAAAA